CTACCGTCCTATAACAGTGACATCAGTGGTCTACAGGCTGGCGATGAAGATTATAAAGGAAAGACTGCAGGCATGGATAGACGATGAGGGGGTGCTGGGGGAACTGCAGAATGGGTTTCGGAAACACAGGCGGTTGGAAGACAATCTGTTCTCACTGACGCAGTGCATCGAAATAGCAGAAAAGGAACAGAGGCCCCTGTGGCTAGCATTTTTGGATATCAAGGGAGCGTACGATAGCGTGGTTCAAGAGGAACTGTGGGGAATACTGGACGTACTAGGCGCGGAAGATGTAGTCACTAATTTTTTAAAGAAGATCTATAAGAATAACAAGGCAGTTAGAAAGTGGGAAAAACAGGTATCTAAGCCCACAGAGGTGAAACGGGCGCATAGGCAGGGGTGCCCCTTGTCACCCTTATTATTCATGATGTACCTACAAGGATTAGAGGCCAAATCAGGGGGAGGTGGACTGGGTTTCAACCTCTCTTTCGTCAAACAAGGAAAACTCATTGAACAGGCACTACCACCTTTATTGTATGCAGATGATATAGTGCTAATGGCCGACAACAAGGAAGATTTGCAGAGATTGGTGGACATCTGCGGTAATGAGGGAGATAGGTTATATTTCAGATTCAGTAAGGAAAAATCAGCAGTCATAATTTTTAATGACAATGAAGGCAGCGAGCTTAGAATACAGGAGGTCACGTTAGAGATAACAGATAAATACACATATCTGGGCGTATGGATAAGCAATGGGGCCGAGTACCTAAGGGAACACGAAATATACTTGTCGACTAAAGGTAACAGGAATGCAGCAGTAATTAAAAACAGGGCGCTGTGGAATTACAATAGGTATGATGTTGTGAAAGGAATATGGAAAGGGGTCATGGTTTCTGGTCTGACGTTCGGCAATGCGGTCTTGTGCATGAGATCAGAAGTTCAAGCAAGATTAGAAATTAAGCAACGTGGAATAGGTAGGCTTGCCTTAGGAGCTCACGGGAATACACTAAATCAGGAAGTACAAGGCGATATGGGATGGACATCATTTGAGAGCAGGGAAGCTAGCAGCAAGATAAAATTCGAGAAGCGATTGAGAGAAATGAAGGAGGAGTGTTGAGCTAGGAAGGTTTTCAGCTACTTGTACATGAAGAATGTCGATACAAAATGGAGGAAGCGAACCAGGAAGTTGACTGGTAAATACTTAGAAAACAGCAGGTGGCCAAACCAAAAAGAACTATCGGTTAAGAAGAAGGTGAAGGAAGCTGAAACCGATATGTGGAAAATTGGCATGATTAAGAAGTCCGCACTAGAGATTTATCGAACTTTTAAGCAGGAAATAGCCAAGGAAAGGATCTATGATAATACTCGGGGTAGTTCTCTACTGCTTGAGGCCAGGACAGAAGTATTGCGAACAAAGACATATCGGGCCAAATACGAAAGGGTAGACACGGTATGCAGTGCGTGTGGAGAGGAAGAAGAAACTGCCGAACATTTGATAATGTTCTGTAAAAGGCTTCACCCTGTAGTTCAGGTTGATGACGAAGAGTTTTTCAAAGCACTGGGGTTTAGGGACAGTGAGGGCAAAAAACGCTTTAAGCGGGTAGAATTAACTAGAAGGAGGTTATTTTATTGGTGGCTAAAGTCAAGGCACGAGTGAAAAATGAACCCTTTGCTGCAAAGTACAAATCCTCAACCTCACTATTAAAAAAATTTAGTTTTTGGTTCATTAAGTATAACGGCTTGGTGGCTCCAGCCACCGCCCGATCTAAAGGGCACAGCCATATCCATCCATCCATCCATCCATCCATCCATCCATCCATCCATCCATCCATCCATCCATCCATCCATCCAGCCAGCCATCCAGACGTGTTCCGATTCTCGGATAGCATGGGTTCGGTGCTGTCTTCTAAGCAGTTTGCATAGACTGTCTATATGCTGTCAGAGAATTGGAACACAGCCCAGGTGGCGCTGCGTGCTCAGTTGGTAGTTGGTGATTGCTTTAGCACGCGCTAGGTGACCGCTAGATAGCCGCGCCTACATCCAGCTCTGACGTTTGGCGCGCTTCCTATCTCTTCCCTGGGGAAACAATCTTCAATACATCACCAAGAGAACACTAACTGAGCTCACTCGGTGGACTCTCTTCGTCACCACTCCGCAGCATGAACACCCCAGAGGCCAAGGCAGCAGCGCAGCTGGCTCGCAACGCAGCAGCCTTGCTGCATGGTAGGGCTACGTGCCCGGCGAGAAGACGTTGTCCACTCAACTTAGTTCACCCTTGTTCTTCTCAACTTGCGGTATCTCAACGCACACGTTGACGACATCGATGAATCATCCTGTCCATACCACAGCTAACGTGCTGTTTCACTGACAAGTGGAAGGCTGGAAACATGTTCATCAATGGATTCATTTTAGTCATCTGCACCAAAGAAGCGTAGTATTGGGCTTGTGGTCTGCGTCAATACTTTGGTGTACTCTAAAATAGCTAAGATGGAATCGAGCGAGAAATGAAGGCCCCTTTGCTAAATAAGGATGGTTGAACACGAAGGTTTCGTGCATGCAGGCTCAAAGTCCAAGGCCAAAGTCAACGACCACGTGATGAACCCAACTTAAGCTGAACGAGCCGATGCGAAGTTTGATTGAATTTCTCCGTTAACAATGTAATTTTTGAACTTTCAAACTAGATAAAGACAGATTTCGTTGAGTTCTATATGCTTTCTATTTATCGTGTAGCCGTTATTTACGCGCACGCGCTTGCACTTTCACGGACGGCTCGACACTTGCACACTACTGCTTCGCGATCGCTGTTGTAAATGGTCAGAGCCTTTGCCATAGTAACGCGACACAGTGTGCTTGCAAACGTGACATCAACGCAGGAACGGTAATGCCTGTCAGTCTCTGTATTGTCGTCATTTTATATGAATATCGATCTAGCGTGTTTTTGCGACGGCCATGATCGCGCTCGCTCTTACGTTCACGTCCGGTAACTTGAAGTATCAGGGGCACGAGTTGGCAAAGTCACTCACTAGTCGACTAACTCGTACCGATGCGTATACTTACTGGATACTTTTCGCGTCACTCGCTTTTCCATTGCCGCAATGGTTCATCCAGTTCATGCAGTTCGCCAGAAATCTTTGAGGCGGCGTTCCTCGCCTTACCCACTAGGTGGCATGAGCTTCCACCTGATCTAAAAGGCACAGGTGGGCACATCTATCCATGCACTCATCAATCCATGTTCTGGTGGCAATGGAACTTCAGGGCGTCTGACAGCATGATGCTGCTCAGCGCAGAGCTAAGTGATGCTGCTAGCACCTCCGAGACGGCAAAAAGTGTGATAGCGATCTCGGAGGTAGAATCACGTAACTCCCGTTGCAGCAGTCCGCCGCACGCGGCACTTGTTGCCTTTCCACAAGGAAAAGAAAGAGAAAGGGTGAAGAACCGGGTGTGCGGATCCACGCGGCAGGCATCTAGTAAAGGAGGAATTGCTCGCACTCGCCCAGACCGATGTCGAGCCAGTAGTCTGAGTGTGAGTGAGTACGCGTGAGTGGTATTCGGTGAGTTTGAATTCGAGTGATTCCTGACAAAGAAAATATTCGTGCGTGTGAGTCCGAGTGAGTTTGGCTCGGGAAAATTTCGGCGAACCTGATTCCGAGTGAGTCCGAACTACAAGACATATCTCTTAAGTGAGTTTGATGTAGTTCCCCTTTTTTTTACCGACCTATGGTCCTATTCACTCATCTTAGGTATTACTATAAGCCTTACCTGTATTCACGTTTATACTCACGCCTACGCACACGTAACTGAAAGCAGTCTCGTGCATACTTCATTTCAATATTTATCGATCAGAGACGCAAATTAAATGGAGGAATGCTTGGACCTCCTCCACAGCCAACTCTTCCAGGGAAGTTCTTGATAAAAATATCTTGACACATCTTTTAAGAAAAACAAACTTACTGGTTGGTGGGCGTTCATAACTGGCATTCTAAGTTACTTTACCAAACGGTGCGAATAAGTGAAGCTATTGCGTGAAATAATGGTATTGCAGGCATTTGAATGCCCACAGTATCTGAGTACATCAAAACCATGATTTCAACTTAGGGCTGACGGACTCAAGAGTATTCACTCTGACTCATATCGAGCCACGAGTCTGAGTCTAAGTGAGTCCGGGCGAGTAACGCTTTGCGTGAGTGTTATTCCGAGTGAGTCCGATTCAGTGAAATTTGGGTGCGTCTCAGTCAGGCTGAGCCAAATGAGGAAAATATATTTTATGGAGGAGTCCGAGTAAGCACAAGTTTTGCCAATTTATAATCAGGAGTGTGGCGATAATGCAAGAATAAGCATGCTGGATAGATGAAGATTATTGTGGGAGGAGGAGACACTCTTTCTTTCAAAATAACTGCCAATTGATCGTGCTGCTAAAAGTTAATGGTGAAATCTTTCTTCGTTAAAGCAAAATTCGTTTCATCATAAATCATTTTTGGTCGCTCTTTTTTTCGGAGCCTTGGCATGGTTTGCTAAAATACGCTTAATATCTGCGTCACGTCTGCATTGCGGACGTGAAAAAGTGCAGAAAAATGCTGTGCTGGGCGACTATATCTGGCGGTCTAGACAAAATTGTACGCAAAGGCTTTGCTTTGCAGAGAAATATACTTCAAGCTAACTCACATCTTTATGGTCATTTGACACATGGAACGGGAGAGGTACACAACATACGGCAGGTCGTTGAGGTTTGTAGATTCGCATTCTTATATGGCACATAGGACACGTGTTCAATAATCTGGCTTGAACCTATACCAATCATGTGTCCTCGTATGATCATATCAGATTATTGTATATGTGTCCAACGTGTCGTATGTGATGTTAAGATAGATTCAGAAACTCGCGCCAATTGCTGAAAATTAAATGCGGGCTCTCATGCTTTTGCCACCTCTTAATCGCGTGGAGATAACGAGTAGTACAATATTTCCAGTGATTCACTCATAGGAAAAGGCAGTGTGTGCTCTTACCTGTTCGCTGCGGTAGAGAACCCTGGTCTTGGACACGACGCCGGCGTCCGAACCACGGTCGGGTGGGAACGGTCCCCAGGCGCCTGTAGCGGCGGCCATCTGACGCCGTAGAGCAGCTTTCTCGCTGGGACTGCGCACCACTGTGCCGTACGAAGAACCGAGCGCAGAGCGGGGCAGCGGCGTCTGGGCGAACCGACCGTTGAGGGATGGCCGGCCAGGCTTGATCGGACTCGCGGGCTTCTGACCGGGCTGCCGGACGACTTTGCCGAATGACGCTGGCGTCCAGTACATGAGCGCCTTGTCGTCTGGCGAGACGTAACCGAACGGGTAAGAGGCAGGGAACTGCACCAGGAGCACAACGGAGGCACGTGTTATGTTTGCAATGGCAAATAAAAAAGCCAGTATCTTTCAATGAGATTTCAATTCTTTAGAGATAGCAGCTCACTGAACCGCAGTATAAAGAGTATGGTGACTAACTTCTAGTATCGGCCTTATTCAAGGTTCTTCAGATAACTTGGGTCAAAAACATGTGCTAAGCGAGTTGGATTGTCCAGGTATTGTTCTTAACCGTATGCTGCACGTACGTTTGAATCTTCTTCCTTATCCGTTTTCTTGGGTAGTTAACAGATTGCTTAGTTCATTTCTTGATTAGTAACTTTGGTGAAAGTTCTTGAATGCAAAAGTTGTAGCACTTATTGTTCTGAAAAGTTGGAATATTTTATTCATACTGGGATGAAGGCCAATTCAAGAGTCTCGGTATTTAACAGATATCTCCTAATTCAATTCTCATATACTAATCAAACGAAAGATCTTCAGTAGGGAAGTTGTAGAGTTGTCACACAGGTCCCGTTAATTAGGGAGGCGATCGCCGGGCTAATTCCAAGGGCCGAAGTATCAGCCTCCCGAACCGCACCACGAAAGCGTGGACAATTTAGAAGTGGTCCTTTTTGGCGCGCCAGCGGACGCCGGCTGTGGCCCAAAGAACAAGTCAGAGCCGAGAGTTGATAAACAAACAAAATTATATTCTCAATAATGGCAGATCGAAAACAATACACAAGAATGCACACACCACAATAGTTGCATACAATATGTCACCAATCAAACAACGTACTACACAGTACAATCAGCCACACTCGAAACAATGGACACAGACAACAATACGCACCACAATGCAGTCGCATGCATTGAACAACCAAGACACTTAAAGACTAAAGAGATAAAAAACCTATTCAGTCCAGAGTTCTTGGAACCAAAGTCTGGATGATACTCTTTCGAGAATCACTCACTCAAAGTCCAGCGTTGTTGTCGTTCCGCTGCCCTCGAAGTTTCTCTTCCAGGAAACCTCGCCGAAGTTTCTCTTCCAGGAAACCTCGCGTCTTCAATTGGCCACTCTCCAAGCTTTAAACTTATTCGCCGGAAACACGTCGGCTTCACACACGCAGCTGTATTAGTTAAGTGATATGTATGTGTTATGTTATAGCCATTTATTCCAATTAGTTATCTCCTGTTTTATCACTTGCATGTAAACATTTTGAACTACCATAAGTTTCAATAATAATTTTCATTACGTTCATTTTGTTTTATTCGCTTGCTGTTTTTTTCTTAGTTGCCAATCTTTCTTCTGTATTTTTATACATGAATTCACAGGAGGTCCCCCTGATAGTTTTTACTTTGGGACCTCCTTCTGTATTATATCAACTTTTTACTTGCACTGTATTGCACTGAATAAAGAAGTTTGTATAAGTTTGTATACTGTTTGTGACAGGGATTTAGAAGAAGTTTTGTTCTGGCATCCTGGGTCGGGATGAAACAAATGCCTCCAACACTTTTTTTATTCCACTTAAATACCTTTCAGTGGCAATCAGCTTTTTGTATTTCACTGGGGTATTAATTAATTGATTTATTCAATTGTGTTGACTCTCAAAAATTGTTCAGGCAAGGGTATTGTGTACCACAAGTATCAATCTCTTAGTGAATAAAGTACGGCGCGTTTCCTGATGCTCGCCTTTAACAGCTTCCTAGTTTAAAATAATGCAAGCGCATTTGGAGGCTGAAATTTTTTGGTAGATAAGCTGTTTACATATACTCAACATCTCTTCCATGTTTTCACAGAACTTTGTAGATTCCTTTATTTGGATTTGCAGAATGGCAAATTTTCCACCGCATACTGTTAAAGGCTTTAACCATTAGACACTTTCCTCACTTCAATTTGTGGGCAAAATTCACAAAACAAACCATGGAGCTAGTTGTCACTTGCAACCGCCGTGCCAAAATGCTTTATTTTTCTCCGGCATTGTAGAAATGGTTGCAGGAACTGGGAGTGTCTTGGTATCAACTAAATGCACGACCACCAGTAGTATCAATGCCACAGAAGAGGTCATTAGTGAATGTAGAATTTGATTAGAAAATTTCGCTACTCAACTACACTTATTGCTGCTCTAATGTTGATATTCTCATGTTTCGTAGAGTTTGCAAGATGGATGAGCCCGAAGCAGTTGTGGAAGAGATAGAACAAGATTGTTTGGCCGATGATGGTCCTTCACTGATGGACATGCCGGATAATGTGCTGATGAAAATCTGCCAATATTCAGAACCATTCGATGTGCTAAGCCTCGGAATGACCTGCCGCCGTCTTTGCGAGTTGACTTCGAGTCGGTTCTTATGGACGTCCTTGGCTCTGTCATGGTGCCGGAATGCGTGGCGCTACCTTCCCAACGAAGTTGGCTACGGGCCAGAGGATCCCAAGCAGTGGTTTTGTAACCTGCTCCGTGTGTGCATAAAAGGGCCAGTGCAACACATAGAGAGAGCTTTGTTAGAGAACGGTGAGACGTGGCTCCGGATACAGGATGACAGGTTCTCCTGCAAGGTATGGTTTCAACTGCTTCAAAAAAATATTTATGCAGCACCTCATGGCACTCGGTTTTCTGCTGTGCTGTTTCGTTGGTTCTCGCTGCAAGTAATGAACAAAAGAAGGAGAGCTTATGAAGGGCTTGTTTTCTTTGTTTTGAATAACGCGTCTTCGCTCGATAGCGGTAAACACACACTCTTGCCGGTAGCTCGACTCGTCACCCCTCAGGTGAAAATCATCTTCTTCTCCTGCTTTGTCTCTACGGACAAAACCTTCGCCGACTACACGGCGGAATCCCCACGCGCTCTGGCGCTAACTTCCGTCTTCTCCTGATCTCTCACCTCGGCAGCTCGATTAAATACCCTCCGCGCGAGATTCCAGAAAGTTCTCGTCATTTCGTCGGTGTGATACGCAGCGAAGGCTGGGGAGAGGGCGAGACGGCTCGAAGGCCATCCACGATAAATGACTCAACCCGGCCTCACCACGCCCCTTTCCATCTAGAAAGTTTGAGTGCTTGTTCGGCCGCCGTTGTGGGGTGAGGAGGTTCGTCGGCGAATCTACGCTTCTGAGGGAGAGAGTCGCGCCCGGGGAGTCTGGATGTTTGTTTTCTTTTTTTGTCGTTTACCTCGCGGCGCCACTCCGGCGTTTCGTCGCGAGGAGTTGGCGGCGCGCTCTTTTTTAGCGCTCGTTCTGTGACACTGCCCGCCACTTTAAGAATATTATCTCATAATATTCAAAACCACACAAACGAGCGCGAACAGTCACCACACACTCTCACAGACTGTAACACAATCCGTCGCTCATGACACTTCACATTCACAATAGATCACTCAATACAACTGTACATTGTAATTCAATCTCACAACACATGAAATATAACCACAGGTACGTGACTACAACACTTCATCACATATTCCAAACCATACAAATGTACAAAGTTCTGTCGTTACAACAGTTATACAATACTATACATCACATCACCGTAACAAACATTTTGACTCGCTCGACATACAGTTGTGATACAGGACAACAACCACATTAACTTAACATATAGCACTGTCAAACACATTCCGGTTCAACCTCAACACTTATCCTGTGCATTTCGAACGGCGCTTGCGCCCTTTCTTGCGGTGCTCGCTCGATCTCTTCTTATTGTTTTTGCTCGTTTTGTTCCGGCGAGCCCCTTCCAACGACGGTATGTGAGGCGGCGTCTCAGCCATCATTGTCACTTCCGACACTGCTAACGGGTCATGACGCTCAACCGATCCTGCCTGGTTATTCACCCACTTGTTCACGTCCCGACATTTGGCCTGGCTGGCCAACTCCGTCTCGTTTAAACTGTCGGTCGGTTGAGGTCGTGCCGACGTAAGCCCAGTTGCTCGGCCCGTGAACTCATTCAACACGATCATCTTCTCATTCGCTGTCTCTTGCGCCGCGGCTTCACCTTGGGCTCTAGTGAGATTCGTCACGGGCTGCTCCTCCACTGTATCTCGCGGTCGCTGGGTTGGCGAGGGCTCTATCTTAGGGTCTTCTCCCAAACATTTCGGATGATTCGGTCCTCGCGCCCCGTCGATGTTTTCGATGACAAGGTCGTACAGGGGGGTCGTCATGCATAAAGCAGTAACCTTCCCGCTGAAGTACGGGGTTTCAACCTCAATTTCTGCTTCGGGAAGCATCCGAACCGTACGGTCAATTAGGCAAACTGGTTTCGTTTTGCCTGTTAACTCCCTTTCCCGTACCAAGTTTCTCCGCACGATAACAGTGGAGCTGCCGGTATCTCTTAACACCGTAATCTTTTTGTCCGCAACTTTTCCAGGCAGCGTTGGCATTCCCCTCGAAACACCGGCTGGCTGTTTTGTCATTACAGCACCCACAATAGGGATTTTCTCCCCATTTTACAACTCTACAAATCCGTCGGTGACGGCATTATCATCGGATTTCGGTGCTGCTAGCACACAGGACACCTGGTGAGTTTGACTCGCTCCGTTTCGACATGCGTCTGCTTTGTGCCCAGTCTGACACCACTTGAAACATTTTACAACCGTGGGGCTTGTGAAGTTAGTTCGGCAGTTTTTAGCACGGTGACCCATTCGGTTACACAGAAAACATCGCGGAATGCTCTCCGGTGCACGCTTCTTTTCTTCGGGAGCCGATTTCTTCGAATCTTCAGGACACTCCTTCTTGACCCTGGCCAAATTAGTTCCACCTTGCGCTTCCAAGAATTGATCAGCCAATTCGAGCATGCCTTCAAGTGACTCAGCCGTCCTGTCTTTCAAGTACAGCGACAGGCTTGGGTGGCAACTAGTAAGAAATTGTTCTCTAATTAGGAGCTCTCTAAGCTCATCGTACTCTTGCGCTGTCCCTGAAAGTTCAATCCATCTGTCGAAATAATAGCAAAACCGGGCGGCATACTGCGTAGCCGTCTCACCATCAGCTGGCTTTCCTGTCCGAAATCTGTCCCGGAATCCTTCCACAGTAAATCTAAATCGCTTCAGCAAAGCAGCTTTCACCTTTGCATAGTTGGCTGCATCGGTCGGCGTCAGCCTACCGTACACACTGAGCGCTTCACCACTCAAGCAAGTACTCAAAGCAGTTGCCCATTGATGTTCCGGCCAATTCTGGCTCCTCGCAATCGTCTCAAATCGGTGAAGGTACGCGTCAAGGTCATCCTTCCTTTCATCAAACGCTACGAGCAGCTTGCTTGGGTTCAAGCGGAAGCCGTAGTCCTCCAGTTCGCTGCTTTCAACTCTAGCTTGGACCGGAGTTTCACTTCGCTGTCGCAAACGGAGCCGCTCGAGTTCCATCTCGTGCTGTCGCTGCCGTTCCCTTTCCTCTCTTTCTTCTTTCGCCCTCTCAGCTGCCAGTCTTTCTTCCTCCAGCTCCAACTTCAATTGCTGCTCTCTTTCTTCTTTCAGCTGTCACTCCCTTGCCTCTCTTTCTTCTCTCGCCCTTTCAGCTGCCAACTTTTCTTTCTCCAGCTCCAACTTCAATGGCTGCTCTTTTTCTTCTTTCGCTCTCTCAGCTGCCAACCTCTCCCGCTCCAACTCAGCTGCTTTTTCTTCCTTGGCCCTCTCAGCTGCCAACCTCTCTCTCTCCAACTCTGCTGCTTTTTCTTCCTTGGCTCTCTCAGCTGCCAACCTATCTCTCTCCACCGCCTCTTTCTCCTTCTGGCTTACCCACTTCCGTAGTTCGGCGCCAGAAAGACCTATCTTCTCACCAAGAGCTACTAACTTTTTGAGATCCATTTTGTCTCGCAAATAAAACCTTGCCGCGTGTAAAAAGTGTCTGCCTAAATCACTCTATCGGAACACTCCCCTGCACTCGTTAACGAGAACACTGAACAACACACAAAATCGTTCCGATAGCAGTATCAACAACTCCAGACTCTTTCTCACTACTTTGGACACACTGTGCACCAAAAGGTCCTGTCGCGGACGCCAGATTAATTGTCACACAGGTCCCGTTAATTAGGGAGGCGATCGCCGGGCTAATTCCAAGGGCCAAAGTATCAGCCCCCCGAACCGCACCACGAAAGCGTGGACAATTTAGAAGTGGTCCTTTTTGGCGCGCCAGCGGACGCCGGCTGTGGCCCAAAGAACAAGTCAGAGCCGAGAGTTGATAAACAAACAAAATTAAATTCTCAATAATGGCAGATCGAAAACAATACACAAGAATGCACACTCCACAATAGTTGCATACAATATATCACCAATCAAACAACGTACTAGACAGTACAATCAGCCACACTCGAAAGAATGGACAAAGACAACGATACGCACCACAATGCAGTCGCATGCATTGAACAACCAAGACACTTAAAGACTAAAGAGATAAAAAACCTATTCAGTCCAGAGTTCTTGGAACCAAAGTCTGGATGATACTCTTCCGAGAATCACTCGCTCAAAGTCCAGCGTTGTTGTCGTTCCGTTGCCCTCGAAGTTTCTCTTCCAGGAAACCTCGCCGAAGTTTCTCTTCCAGGAAACCTCGCGTCTTCAATTGGCCACTCTCCAAGCTTTAAACTTCTTCGCCGGAAACACGTCGGCTTCACACACGCAGCTGTTGCCACGCGTCTTCGCTCGATAGCGGTAAACACACACTCTTGCCTGTAGCTCGAGTCGTCACCCCTCAGGTGAAAATCATCTTCTTCTCCTGCTTTGTCTCTACGGACAAAACCTTCGCCGACTACACGGCGGAATCCCCACGCGCTCTGGCGCTAACTTCCGTCTTCTCCTGATCTCTCACCTCGGCAGCTCGATTAAATACCCTCCGCGCGAGATTCCAGAAAGTTCTCGTCATTTCGTCGGTGTGATACGCAGCGAAGGCTGGGGAGAGGGCGAGACGGCTCGAAGGCCATCCACGATGGATGAATCAACCCGGCCTCACCACGCCCCTTTCCATCTAGAAAGTTTGAGTGCTTGTTCGGCCGCCGTTGTGGGGTGAGGAGGTTCGTCGGCGAATCTACGCTTCTGAGGGAGAGAGTCGCGCCCGGGGAGTCTGGATGTTTGTTTTCTTTTTTTTGTCGTTGACCTCGCGGCGCCACTCCGGCGTTTCGTCGCGAAGAGTTGGCGGCGCGCTCTTTTTTAGCGCTCGTTCTGTGACAAGAGTTCATTGAGCTAAGTCGAACTGAATAAGCTTTGTTTGGATAGCTTCCCCGTTTGAAGCTTTTCTTTAGAGTGCGTGGAAAAAAGAAAATGTACTTGCCGCAGCTTAACTCAGGCACTCTGTACATTGCAGTCACCTTTGGCAGGCTGAGAAACTGGTAGGATTGAATTTATTGACCCAAGTATCACTTGAGAAGGAGGCTTATTGGCGCTGTAAGTGGGTGGTGACAGCTGCAAAAAGCATCACAGAGCTAGCGCCAACAGCTCATTCTCGGTTCTTTTAACTAAGGGGGTGTCTGACAGCGGCATATATTGCTCTTCTTCTATACAATGGTCCTATATGCACACAGACAAACAGACGTCTCATTCGATAGCCACGAGCGCTAGCTTTAAAAGCAATGGCGTCAAGAACAACAGCATTGAAGGGGCCCTGAAACACTTTTTTTTGAGTAACTATAGAATCAATTAGCTGAGAAAGCGTATTGCCTCACCAATTTAACGCCGCAAGAATTTTAAGAATCCGTCCAGTATGAGCGGAGTTACACATATTTGTCACACGCTGCAATCGCATTCTCTCTACGCTGGACGCTAAGCAGGTAGGGATGGGAGAGCAAACAAAAAATTTCACGCTCGCCTTTTGACTTTGAGCCCTTTTTTTCTTTTTTTTTCATCGAACACGCGTCTTTTTTTTGAGCGATCGCGCGCGCACCCACCTTCTGGAGGGTTCCCTTCAAGCTGCCGTCTTTTCTCACCTCATCGCACTCTTTATGACTTCACCTATATTGGTGGAGTCATCAGTGACGGCCTCCTGCAGCGATTTATGTAACAACCGAGTGCGCCATGTTCAAATCAGCCAATGGCTCATAAATGGGTCATCTGCGTTTGATTGTTGGGCATATTCTGTGATTTATCGAGGGAAGAGAAAGCAATTTTTAGCTGACTTTGATAATTTATTGTGAATTCCTGGCCACGTGTTCTGCTATAACAATTGGCTCGCGTGTTCTCGGAAGCCTCTACTACCAATCGGCAGTGTTTGTGACCATGATCAAAAAGTGTTGCGGGGACCCTTAAGAACAGTGCCCAGAGGAATTTCCGTGCCTCTGGTTTCTCACACGTCGAGCGAGCTATTTTATTAGTCGTGCAGAGATTCGGGAGTGTCGGCGGAAGGAGCATCTACAAGGCTACCAGTGTTCTGTGGTTGCTCAAAATTTGTGAAAACCACAGATTACTCAGAAGACAAAGTGCGCATGCCATATTTAACCATCGTTGGTGTGGCGTGTGTGGCCTCCGAGATCAGTTCCGGCAACATATCAAGCCGCAATGCTGGAACTAATTGCGGAGGCCATGCACCGAGCAATGGCCTCACTTCTGCCGTCCGGGCTGACACGAGGCAGGGTACATGCACTTGGCTAGCAACTCCTCTCGATTCCTCTTTATTTTGCACCACGCGAGCTCATCCATGCGGCCCCTACCTGGCACGCTAATTATCTTTTTGCAAACGCACGGAACATTTCCTTTCACTATGTCTGCTCTATGCACATCTGTCGCTTACTCACCCTCAATTACAGAGCGTGAAACGCGCGGTGCACGATGTGATTTTCATGGACCAACGCAGAAACGATGAGTTTTCAGCAGAGTGTCACTATAACTGCTGTCTCAACAAATACCACGGGATGCTAGTACTCGATTTATATCATATAGAATACAGTGCGCGCTACCTTTCTATTGTGAGTACACGACGAACTGCTTACAGAATTCACGTACTGCGTTAGGGGCATTAGGTCTCCGACAAGCCTTGTAGAGTTTTGTCTGAGGACGTTATTGACGCTTCGTGTGAAACGTCGCTTCAACTCAGTCATCTAAAGTGATTATTTCATCGTCATCATCATTATTTGTGCAGCTTGGGAGGTCACGTGGGTAGCTGTATTGTTTGGTGATGCTGTAGCTGGTAGGAATTATGATAATGATGATGATGAATTATAGCTCAGCGCATTGTAATGGGGCTGGTAGTGGTCAATAACACAGTCGTTTCGCAATTCACAAGGTGTGACGCCTTCTGCGACTCGCCATTTATGTCACGCAATATTGCACATGCTAACTTGAGTCCTTGGACCACGGGATAACTCCTGAAGGTACATTGGCCTGAAGCACCAGGGCGGCTTTGTGGTAGAATACCAAACTACCACGCTAAATACTAGCTGGTGTCGACTACGAATCAAACCCTCACCTTTATCCGCACTCCGCATTTTGGGAGACCCGTCCTTAAATGAAACATTTAACGCTATCGCATTGGTACGGGGCGCGAGGAGCAGGATAATTGTTGTCGGCAGCAGTGGGACTGTCATCACCTGCGGTATCTCGTTGGTGAGCTGGCTGTGGCGAGCCATGCGATGCATCTGGCGCCACATGAGCCTGAGCTGGGTGCACGAGGGCTCAGGCACGGCGGCCGGCGGCAGCTGCTCGACCTGACGCCGCTCGAGTATTCGCCGCTGCCACTCCTGGTCGGCCGACTGCGCCCGCGATAGTGGCGCCACCGCCAGCAGCACCAGGGGCAGCAGCATCAGCTGTAGGCCGCTCGTCCCCGGCCACGATCCGGCCATGCGACCACTCGGCGCTGTTAGGTACAGGCACTCACCTGCGCACAACGGGAAAACAAAAAACACATTAACATCGAGTGGAAGGAAGCGAAAGTATACCGTTAAGGATGTGCACTCCGATCCACTAATAAAGCGGGCACGTAGTATTGGTTTCTGCTACTGATTACCGCTGAGATGTTGAGGAGAGATGAGAAGACAAAATATTTATGTATATGTATGAGGGACTTTTATCAGCACAAATTCAAGTATTCACCTTTGATTACGGATGGCTTTTTCTTTAACAGTCGACTCAATTGTGCAAGTCACGCACAAGCTATCGTTTGCGTACGTTGTCAAGGAATCAACCAGTTTTTCGTTGCTTTGCCGGTTTTTGCTATACGACGTCGTTTTGAGCTTTTTTCACTCACTTTCCATGACGGGATGTTGATATGTCTGCGGTGATAATGTTGATTTCTCACCGAACTTAATTGGCATAGTTGCAAGCATCATTAGTTAGCTACTCTATCTACGGTCATGCTGTCAGCACTGTGCAATATCAGCTAAAATTTTAGTTCTCCTGGCTTTTTTGCAGTGAGCTGTTGTGTAATTTCTGCACTTTGTCAATGCAATTGCAATTCAACATTTATGTCGTAGACCACTTTATTAGGCACTGCTGAATTTTGTCCTTGCTGTTATATGGAGTGTCAGGCAAAGGCAGGAAGAAAGAAAGAAAGAAAGAAAGACAGAGGGAGAGAGAAAGAAAGGAGGAAGAAAGGAGGAAAGGAAGTATGGAAGGGAAACAACAAGATAGATCCATTCGTCTTACATCTCCACGCACGTTACGTGGTGTTGAATGAGGTCTACATTTTCTTAGTTCATTTCTGCGATCGTATAACTACACGATTTCGCCAAGCAGTGCTTCACTCTCTTTTTCCCTTCAGTTTTTGGTTCGTATGTTTAGCGACATCGCCCAGAAAAAAAATACGATGAGCGGGAGCGCGTTGGTAGGAGGCCCACCTCGGATATCGTGCGAATGAAGGCTACGCTTGATAATAGGCATTTTGTCGGTGTTGACATGCATGCTATAAGGCAGCGGTGCAACAAGGAGCGATACGCGGATGCTGGCACGTATTTGCAGAGATGCTTCATGCGGCAGTGTGGCTGCTCAGGCTTGCATGCTCATGGAGATAGAATTACGACATGGCGTGGCTGCTCTTTGAATGAAGTGTCACAATGGTAAGGTAGAGGGCACTGCCTCGGTGCCCGCCGTCCTCGGTGGCTGCATTGTGACGAAAAAAAGGAGGGGGGGGGGGCGAAAACACACACGTATTTGGATATGTGCGCAGAATGAACAGCCATAGGTAGTTGAAAATCAAGACAAAGTTCGCTACGGCGTTGAGAGTCGTAATAGCGCCGTGGTTATGTTGCGTAAGCCTGCAGAATTTATGTTATAAAGTTTGCTGCAGTAGCTAATATGTGCGATAGTTTCGGGTCTTCCGCGCTTGAGCGATGAAGGCCCGGAGAAGACGCGCCTTCGGCGTTGGAGCACCATTATTTTTCTTCAAGAGAAGTGCTTCTTTATCGGTATCAAAATTGTATATTCGTATGCCTTATTCTCAAACGTTGGCGAGACAGGAATGGCGATTACTCGAAAAACATCAGCGGAAGGCTTCGGTTAAACCAGTTCTAGTGTTTCATGGGATACGCTAATGTTTGTTATTTATCTAAATTTTAATAGGCTGAACGCCATCGCAATACCAATAAAGCGTGCTATATCGACAAGTATAGTTGAAGTTGTTTGTTCATCTTGTCCTCTTTCTCACTGTTCTTACCAAAAGCGGCTGCACTATCAGTGCTCTTTCATTCATCCGACACCGTCAACATCAGTGTGTATATCAGCAGCTTGACGCACGCTGCATCAGCGATACCTGTCGATAATTCCCCTTCCATCAAAGTCAGAAATCTGATTCCTAAAAGTTCATATCTGGGCCAGTTGGTTCATGATACTTTATGAAAGTTAACAGTAGCATGGTACTCGAGAAAGAGGTAGGACGCAAACAGCATGGGATTACAGCGGTGTTTGCGTCTGCCTTTTTCTCATGTCCCATATTTTTGGTGGCTTTCTTCGAGTATCAGAAATCTGAGCGCAACGCCAGGTGAGATGGGAGAAAGGCTGAAAAAGGGTACGTGACGTCAAGAAACATGATCACGGCATGCGCTGCGTTTTTTTTTTTGCCCATTGTAAAGCGTCCACTGTTAATGCAAGAAAAAATAAAAGCGGATCTTTTTTCTTCAGTTTTTTTTGTATTTTCATGTATGTGACTTGAAAGAGTAACATGGGAACGCCTGCTCGGTTTTATTGTGTTCTTTCAAGCCTTGGTTGGTGGACAGTTCATTCAACACATAAGCATCCCACATTTATGTTTGAAACGGAGTCGTTCTAGCTGGCCTTTGACGTGGGATCACCTTTCACGGCCTATCGCATCGAGGAAACACGCGCATAAAGTATCAAATGGTGCTTCCTTGTTTAGGTATAACACACAATGAAAATACGAACATACATACAGATGGGTTCTGCACAGAAGAAATGCAGCCTTTGTGTTCTTTAAATCCGAAATTCAAGAAAAACATTGTACAAATCATCGCACAAATCTTCATCAACGACATGATATTTCAACTGATTACAGTGTACTATTATAGTTTTATTGTTAATTTTTGGGTATAGTTCAGTATTATTCTTTTTCTTTCACTGCAGAACTTATTCATATGGAGTAGCCGAGGTAATATGGACCTCAACCTCCCCGCAGCAAAACAGTCGGAACAGAACAGAACAAAAGACACATCAGAATCAGAGGCTATTTTTAAATCAGTTAAGTTTGTCTGCGAGTATTCTGGGACACGAAAGTGGGTAAAATGCATGAGTAGCAAGCCCGCCTTTGAGATAATCAAATATGCGAGATAAATATGAAAATGCTAAAATAACACTATGTATTGCCGAAGAAACTGTGAAATATGCCTCAGCGCAGGGTCACAACATCGTGGTCCAATGAATAGCCAGCCACATTGGAATAAAGAGTAATGAAGAGGCAGGCAGCCTCGCTGACAGACGCGATTGCGCAATGCCTATGTCTGGGGCAGATATTCTACATTTTACAACGCTATAAGAGATAACCATTGTTCTATATAAAATTTTCTATAGTGGCATATCTCCCACGGTACGTACAGACTTCAATTCATAGACTTCGACTGGAAGTAGCATACACAGCTTCCTGCACAAAATACATCGATCCGATTACCCTGAATGCCATTGTGGTCATGCAGAACAAGGAGGAGGGAGGGAAGAAATGAAAGGCAGGGAGGTCAACCAGGCGCACGTCCAGTTTGCTACCCTGCACTGTGGGAAGGGGTGAGGAGATTAAAAGAAAAGAAAGAAATGAAGGACAACGTGTGGGTACATGTGACCTTGTTTATTGAACACTTAGATAAGCGATCGCGTAGTATGGTTGTCTTTAGAAAACCTAGCAATGCCCACGTCACTTTGCTGGCCTGCGACGCGGCCAGCAAAAGGAAATGCAGAAGGAAATGTTCGCCATATTCTTTCGAAGCGCGTAAAGCACGAAAATGAAAAAGAAAAATCAGGGAAGAAACTAGTAAGTTTGGACACGTGGCGGGTCACATTAAAAAAAAAAACTACTCGGACCATGGCCTCACATGCACCTTCAGTAAAAGGCGAACATCTTCCTGATAGACTTCTTAGTGGAGACTGGGCTGAATAAGCGCCTCTGATATGCAGCTAGGAGTCGGCATATATAAAATGGTGTGTTAGTGCATATACTGAGAGTAGACATAGAAAAGTGCGCGTGTGAAAATTTTATCACAGTGTGAACTGATGCAATTACAACTGTACATTGACATATTATTTTCAACTGGTTCAAATGTGATATTACGCTTGTTTTTGCTGATTGTTCATTCTGGTTCTATTCAGTATAATTTTTTAAGTTTTTTTTGCAGCAGCACTTATTGATATGAAGTAGCCGAAAGCATATATACCTCAACATCTCCACAGCTAAACAGTTAGAATAGAACAGGTACAATCTCTTGTGAAGAGCAATCTCCCAGCCTTAGGTTTTATATTCTGCAGAAAAGTTGTTCCCAAGTCGGTAAGAGATTTTAGATGTGAAGCAGTATTTGCTCGGGGCTAGTGTCCGTCTCTTGGCGACCGTCCACTCTACCATTACGCATGCCCCAACTCTCCCCCTTCTCCTCGCATGAGCGCGAGGAGCTGGGAGGAGGATGCCTTCTCTTCATTTTTCCTCTCTCGGTTATTTCTCCACCAGAGCTGTGCACTCGTATATAATGTTGCGCACGCTCGCTCAACTGCACTCTCCTAGCAGTGCTGGGTGTTCACTTTGAGGCACACACACGGCAAAACATATAGATTGGACGGGGCCAACATAATCGGTAAACAACATATACACAGTTCCACTCACAAATGAAACATACATGGAAACATACAAATGGAAAACGAAATGAACACCAGCGCTGCCTGCTTTTCGCTAGTAGGAGATGGTGTGTTTTTTATGTAGTGAGAAACTTCCTACTGGCGTAGCAAGAAAGAGGAGAGCAAGCTTTGTAATTGTTAGCTACTACGTCTCGTCTACATAAACTACTTCAGTTAGCATACCACATACTATTGAATAGGCTATAGCACCCCCGCTCTCTTTTTTTTTTACTTTTTCACGCGTCTATTTTGCTCTTCGCTTTCTTTCTCATTTTGATTCCCCATTTTCATTTTCATTAGTGCAGGGTAGCAAACCGCATGCCCCAATTTCTGGTTAATTTCCTTGCCTTTTTCTCATTTTAATTTTTCTCTCTCCTTCTGTAATGCATTCGTGAATTGCTGACCAAACCCCCCTTTCTCCTTACTAAAAAAATCACAACTAAGCAGCAGACAAAAAGGAGGTCGTACGATTGTGAAAGAAGGCTTGAATAAATAGGGACAGACGAAAGATCGCAAAAGTGATATTCGATGACAATGATTTTAATGGAATGGCATACT